TCAGCATATAATCTAGCCTGTGCAGGTCTCCTGAGATTTTTTATAACATCATTCATTGCTATTAAAAAAAGTGTAGGGCTAATTACAGATCCTTGTGGTGTTCCATTGTCTTGAGACTTAATACTAGAAAGTTCTATATATATTCAATATATTGAAGAGAAACACATTTCAATTTTTATTTCATTTCTATTTCTCATATATATATATATATATATTTATATATATATATATATATATATATATATATATATATATATATAAACCATTTGCGAAAATGTAAGTTTTAATATGAGATCCTTTTATTTAATTTTTGAATAAAAAAGTTTAATTATTCGTAATTAGCTTGTCGCTACAGTTCTTTTTACCAATAGTTTTTAAATTATTTTTTTTAGGAAAACAACGAATCTGATAAAGAGTTTTATGAGTCAAACTCTGAAGCCTCTGAAAGCCACATACCTAGTTTGGATCCAGATCATCGACTGCTTCTAAGGTCTACAAGGCCATTGCTACAATCCAGAAATGCGGCAGTGGTCATGTCAGTTGCTCAACTGTATCACCATGCTTCCCCAAGAAGTGAAAGTATCTTAGCTGCAAAATCATTAGTGCGTTTTCTGAGATCTCACGTTGAAGTACAAAGCATAGTTCTTAATGCAATAGCATCAATGAGTCTTACTAACAAGGGGATGTTTGAACCTTACCTAAAGAGTTTTTTTGTTAGGATATCAGATCCAACTAATGTGAAGTTGCTGAAATTAGATATACTTACTAATGTCACCAATGTTTCAAATGTTTCTATTATTTTAAGAGAGTTGCAGACTTACATTTCTAATAGTGATAAGAATTTCGTTGCTGCCACTATTCAAGCTATAGGAAGATGTGCCTGTTCTATTTCAGAAATCACTGACTCGTGCCTTAATGGTTTAGTTTCTTTATTATCTAACAGAGACGGTAAGAATTTTGTCATATCATTAAATTTTTTGTAATAATTATAACTTTTTTTAGAGGCTGTTGTAGCAGAAAGTGTAGTAGTTATTAAAAGACTTTTGCAGACACAAGCTGCTGATCCTAAAGAAATAATCACTCATATGGCTAGATTGCTCGATAGTATTACAGTTGCCCAAGCTAGAGCTGCCATTCTTTGGCTCCTAGGGGAACATTCACAAAAGGTGCCACAAGTTGCACCAGATGTGTTACGGAAAATGGCTAAAACTTTTCCAGATGAGGTAAAGGTGTTTGGTTTATTTGGTGCGAGAAAATACAATTTCTTTTCCATTTATTGTCTATTTTATAGTTCTATTCATTCCAATTATTTTATGTTTCTCACGTATTTTAGGATGACATTGTTAAGCTTCAAGTGATGAACCTGGCTATCAAATTGTACATAACAAATCCCGAACAAACATCTTTGCTGTGCCAGTATGTTTGCAACCTCGCTAAATATGATCAGAACTATGATATACGGGATAAAGCAAGATTATTCAAACAATTTGTGCCCAACCAAGACGGTAAAATTAAAACTCAAGCCCTTAAAATATTCTTGGCTCAAAAGCCTGCTCCTGATTTAAATGTCCAACTAACTGGTAAGATAAAATAGTTATATATAATTGTTGTCTAGTTTATTTAATGGGAATTAACTACAATACTCAATTCAAAAATTAAACCATTTAATTTGTAATCTCACATTAATCTTAACTTTCTAATTTTACCTATACTGATACGACAAGTTTTCAAGTCAGTATGTGAAACAGAGATAACACTTAAATTGTTTGAATACAAGTGAGACACAAGCCACGCATGTTGGAGTAGCGAGTCTAATTTTTAAAGTGTTTATTTTAAACAAATTTCTGTTATATTATTCCTTCTAAAATATTATCGGATACATGAGTGTAACATAATGTGTGTGTGAGAGAGAGAGAGAGAGATGGCATTAGACAAAGAATCTTTTTGCCACAGAAAATTATTATAAGGATGTTTAAATTTTTATTTTAGAATCGTTTATAAACTTGATTAGAATATTATATATATATATATATATATATATATATATATATATATATATATATATATATATATATATAGATTTGTCAGAATAAGATAACAGATTGCTGATGTTAACTGGAACGCTAATATTGAGATCTTCTTCTTAACATGTCATACACCAAAGTGCGTAGGCGACTATCTCATTACTAGAATTCTGTTCTTGGCGGCGTGACACAGCTCACCTGTATTGTGTATTCCTGTCCATTCTTTAATATTCCTTAACCAGGACAATTGTTTGCGGCCGGCTCCTCTCCTACCTTCGATCTTCCCTTGTAGGATTAACTGTGGTATTTCATATTTTGCTCCTCTCAATATGTGCCCAAGGTAACCAATCTTGCGTTTTTTAATTAATTCAAAGAGTTCTCTTTCCACGCCGGCTCTATTAAGGACGTCATCGTTTCGAACTCTATCCACCCAAGGTATGCGCATCATTCTTCTCAATGACCACATTTCAAATGCTTCAAGTTTGTTGATAGATGTTTTTTTCAAAGTCCACGTTTCCATGCTATAAAGCAAGATGGACCATATGTAGCACTTGACCATTCTGTAGCGTATTTCGAAGTTTAGGTGTTGATTACATAGGAGCGGTCTGAATTTCACAAAAGCTTGTCTTGCCATTTGTATTCGGGTTTTTATCTCGTGTTGTGGATCCGATTGGTCATTGATTGTGGTGCCAAGGTATTTAAAAGTTTTCACGCGATTTATACGATTGTCACCTATGCATAATATCGGGTTTTCTGGAGGGTTTCTGCTAATGTCCATATATTTCGTTTTCAAAATGTTGATTTTGAGGCCATATTTTTTACCTATGCTATTCACCTATCAAGTAATAACTGCTGATCTTCCAAATTATCAGTTATAATCACTGTGTCGTCCGCATAGCGTAGGTTGCTAATTGGTATGCCGTAATATTGAGATCAATTAAACCTAAATATAGTCTTCGAGTCTGTTCCCTATGATTAGAACAATCGAAAAATAAGTGATTCAAATCTCCGATAGATTTATTATTACAAGGACAGAAAGGAGTTTCATAGATTCCAATCCTATGCAGATGCTCTGGAAAGAGGCCATGGTTCAGTTTTAGCCGCGTTATTAACGAAGAATGTACTTTATTAAAGTTAAGATTGAAATGGGGAATATTTTTTGGTAAGCATGGGTGAATAGAAAAGTAATGGTTTCTTGAAGTCTTCTGAACCTCTTTATATTTTGACATCCATCTTTCCCTGTCAATACTCCTGATAATAGAAAAAAGATCTTTAAAGTAGTAAAAATTTGTAATTTTGGATATCTCAGATGTATTTTTTGCCATACTGTCCACCAATTCGTTTCCAATTACTCCATTGTGTCCTTTAACCCAGAGAAAAGTAACTGTTTTGTTTGTGAATTTTAGATCATATAATAATTTTTTGATATCAAGTATAATGGAGTTTTGAAAACTATCTAATGGATGGCTACGAATAGCTTGTAATACTGCCTGAGAATCTGATACTATTACGATGTTCTCACAATAATTAGTGACACACCAAGATAGTGCTTTCTGTATAGCAGCAGCCTCGGCTGTAAAAATAGAACAACATTCAGGAATTCGATATTTTTCAACATAGTTGCTGTTTGAAACAAAAAAAAGCGAAACCAGTACTTTCAACAGTTTTTGATCCATCTGTATAAATTATTGTTAAATCTTCCCCTTATTTGCTTAGTATGGATTTGAATATCAGATTAGTTAAAATTGGCAAGTCTGAATAAGAGGGCATTATAATGGTTGGTTTGTCTATCAGAACTTCAAAGTCTTGTACGTAAAAAGGAAATTTTGGTAGCTGTAATATATAAGATTGAAATGAATTCGTATCGATAAAAGATTCTGCAAGAGGAGGAGAATTTTTTATTCTCCAATAAGGATTTGTTAAATTTTCTGTCAAAAGTAAACCTATTTTGTGAACCATAGTTGTATTAAACGATCTGTACGTTATTAGACGTTTGTTGGCTAACATTTGCCTACATATGAATAAAGGTGGTTCCTGGGCTTCTGCTAGAACTGCCTGGTTTGGTGAAGACATCGTAGCTCCTAGACAAATTTTTATTGATTTAAATTGTATTCTGTCAAGAGTTAATAGATTTGTTTTGCATGTTGAACCGTAAAGAATACCACCGTAATCCAGAATGGATCGTATGTAGGATCTATAAAACATTAAAGATATATTTTGATCTGCACCCCATCTTTTTTTAGAAACGAAAACGCAGAAGGTTAATTCCACGCTCGCACTTTTGTTTTACGTACTTTACATGACTAGACCACAAGAGCTTTTTATCTAGGATCATGCCTAGATACTTATACTCTTCTGCTAAGGGGAAATTATAAATCACCTATCTGGCATTCGCCTGTGACACTTTGTCTACGTCTAGTGAAACATACAATCGAAGATTTTTCTTGTGATATACTAAAACCATTTGTTGAGTGTAACATAATATTAAATCCACTACAGTTCATTGTAGAATGAAAATTAATATTGCCTCTACAAGACTTACATGAAGTAATCATGTAACTGTTATTTTTTAAACGATTATATCATTATATCATTCCTTGCTTTGTTCTTCCAGTTGGTAACCTTAAGTGTTTTCAGATCTTGTTCCACTTGTTTCATGTATTTAAGTTTGGGTCTTCCCTTTGACCTTCTTCCTACTGGTGTTTGCCTCATTATATGTTATGGCGTTTCAATCTCCAAAATCCGTTCAACATAGCCCATCCAGCGCAAACGTCCAATCTTTATCGATGTTATGATCTCGGGTTCATTGTATGTTATGATATAGTTCAAAATTATATCTTCTGCGCCATATGTCATTTTCCTTTACCCCCTTATATACAGGGTGGTGAATTGTCAAACGGGCCATAGGAAATTCAATGGGAAATTCTAAATTGTTGAATTCCCGCTTCCCTAATTATTTTACATAAAAAGTCATAAGTAACTATTTGTAGAGAACTGAGATAAGTATGATTTAAAAACAAATATTAAAATTGTTCTAAGAATTAAATGTATTCCAAAATTTTGTAAAAATATAATACATTTTTCAGGCCACACGAAGTACAAGAATTTGTATGACATGTTGCGTTTCATCATATTTATGTTTCTGATATTTGACAATATTTGAATTGCCAAAATTTTGTGATTTATTGTTTAAAAAACAATATAGTTGATTAAAAAGGATTTAAAATTTAAAAAGGATAAAAATGTATTTTTCAGGCAATAATTCAGGTGATTTCTAATTGTATGTATCTGTACAAACAATATTGCTGAGGTATCAAACAATTTAGAAAATCAAAATGAAATCGAAGTATTAACTGCAGTTGTAGAAAATCTGAGAATAAGTTTTCGGACCATTGCAGACCAGTTTAATATTTATAATTCTACGGCCTTCAAAATTTTAAAAAGGAATAAATTCCGTTCATATAAATTTCAATGTCATCAAGAACTAAGAGGAGATGCTGAGCGACGAGCGGAATTTTGTTCTGAAATTTTAGAGAGGGCTTATGAAGAAAGACAATTTAAAAAAAATTTGTTTAGTGACGAATGTACATTTACAATAAATAATGAACTTAATGTTCAAAATTATTGGATTTGGTCGACAAAAAAGGAAAAATTATTTGAATTGTTGTATAACCTGGAATTGAATCAGAGTGTATTATCATTGTCTAAAAAAGTAAGAAGTTTCCTACTTAAACAATGGTATTATGATATCTTGTATTAAATAAAGATCTGGCAGTGCTCGCACTAATGCTTGAATACAACGTTGTTGCGATTTTTTGTGAACTGAATACATTTCATCATTTTATTGCTTTGTAAATAATATAATTTATTGTGTACAAAGTACTATTTATTGTTTACTAGTAGTAGTAGTATTTGTGAAAATTTGCGTATTTTAGTATATGTGTATAATTTAATGACAAAAAAAAATTGACAATTCAAATATTCAGCATATATCTATCGCGTCGTTTTTGTGTTTGGATTGGCATTCTGTAACTCACATCGTAATCGGTGTAAATCGAAAACGTCAACTTCTACTTGACGCGCTCAGAAGTTGGTGGCAACCCCGCATTGAAACGCGAAAGAAGTGTTCTGTGACGTTAAGTTACTGGAAAGGCTAGTGCTCGCGAAAAATTCATCAAAAAAGAAGATTATATTTCACG